CAGAAATGCGACCATCTAACTTATTGGAAAATCAGATATTTTCAGAGAAACATTGTCATATTTCGAGATGATAGACAAAATTGCTGATTTTCATAGAGAACCTAGTTCAAAGTAAGAACTATGTACTGGTGAAAAAATAAAAATGCTAACTGTTTAAAATACAGGGGCATCACGAAGAGGTCAAAGCAGGGGATATTTTCGAAAAACGGGAGGAAGTATTAAGACCCCCTCAAAAATGTCGAGTTTCCTAAAAAAAAAACGAAATTTGAGATAAATGCACAGCTGAATACTATGATACCTGAACGTTAGGAGTCCACATGATTGGCAGGTTTCACTCTCTAAAAATCTGGGTTTTCGCAAAAAAAGTGTATTTTCGGTACCATACATAAATTTTTTCAAAAAAAAAGATTTTGGAGAGAAAGGTCATTTTTTCATCAAAAAAAGTATTTCTTGAGTGTTAAAAGATGGTTAGATAGTTTAGTTTATGTCACCCCGATCACTTGATTATAAATCAGTAGGTTATTTTTGTACAAACTTCTAACAGTGCTTTTATCTTTCAGAAAACCATTCTGATAGTTGGTGTAAAAAATTTTTAAAATTTATGGTAACGCGTTGAAAGACCATTTTATCAGGTTAATAGATGTTTTTTTTATACAGTTTCATTAGAACTTTTCCTAGAGAAACTTCTGAAGAAGAAGGAAAATTATATCCTTTGATTAAGCAGAGATATTCACATAATACACAATTTTTCTCGGAAATTTCACATAAAAAAATTGTTTTACGTTTTTTTTCAAAATGGTGGTCGAATGACGTAGCTCCTCCAAAAGTCAATTATAATCCGATATGAAGTCAGATATTTTTTTTTTGTTTGAAAGAGCATCAAAAACTACAGCGCCTACGAGGGCTCTTTTTTTGATAAAGCTTTCTTATTATTATATTGAAAAGCGATTTTATAATATAAGCATAATTTTTTTGAGGGATTTTTGAGTCATTGAATTTGTGAAGCCTTTTTTTCTTATTAAAGATAAGAATAAAAAAAAGGCCCTCATAGGCACTGCATCCTGACATGCTCTTTCAAATGAAAAAACAATGAACCATATTGAATGAGCATCCATAGAGATTTTTGGAGGCTACGATAAGCTATTTTTCGACCCTTGTTTGGTTCGTATCCACCTCAGACATCAGGATAGGAGGCTGAAAATTTTATCATAGACGTCTTTTTACACCCTCAACATATCCTAAAAGTTTCATGGGATCTTGGTGTTTCAGAGCTGAGATCGGTTTTTGAGGGGGGGGGGGGGCCTTAAAAAAACGTTTCGAACTTCAAATTTTGAGGTAGGGTAGGCGACTTTTTCTGAAGTTTTAATAAATTTTTCAAAAGTTTTCGAAAATCGTTGTGCAAAAAAACGAAAATTTTCAAACGCAGGGGGTACCCTCTCCCAACCCTACCCGCTCACGCCGTCCCTGTTAAAATAGATATCTTCATACTACAGGAGCTTGTTTAAAGCATATGATCGCACACTAAATGTGTTGTTCAACATTTAAAGACTACCAAAACTTACAAGTTTTGGGACATTTCCTACTTTTTTCGTTAAAATATAGGTAAAATAAGAATTTTAATCGAAATATCAGCAGTGTCCAAGGACTGAGAAATAGGAATTCCTAATTTGCAGAGGAATTGTCAGTGTAGCTATGATAATTCCTTGAGGAAATGGGAATTGACCATTATTTCCATCACAGTTCTCTCATGCATGAAAGTCAAGATAATGCTTTTTTTGCAATAATTTTCGTACTCATACGTTCATGTGCACAAATTTCTTGATGAGAACGAGTGTAAGAGTAATAAGTACCGTGGATATTGTATTTTTTTAATTTTAGCATTCAAGGAAATGTCAGGGAACTGAGTAGGAATTCCTACTCCTCAGTCCTTGGACACGCCTCAAAGGCAACATTGATAGACGAAATAAAATGTTTTGTCAAAAAAATTGTACATTCTATACTTGTTTTTTACTCTACAATTATATTTAATCAAAAGGAAATGGAGGAAACTATATTCGTTAAATAGATTATTCCATTTTATGCAGAATTTTAAGCACTATCTTTTTGAAAAAAGTGTTTCAATCAAGCAGATGTTAGAGAAGAAAATTCAAAAATACTAACAATAGAATTCTTTATGGGCTACCTATTACAACAATTTCGAACGCGAATCATTTTCCAGTTTTGAAGATCATTATTCAGATTACGCCATAAATGTAATCGTACACTAGCTAAAATATCATCTACTGATACTGAAATCATTTTGCTCCGATTTGAATTAGTTAATGGATAGATATTAATAAATTGTACTATATTTGGAGAATCTACATTCACCATGCTTGTATTTTCCATAATTGATTATTACCACTATGATAATCCCAGTGAAGTAACTTAGTAATATCATTCGTACTCCAGTTTTCAGCATCTGTCCCTAGGTGACTATGAGCTGCAATTAAACGGAATTGATCATGACCTGCATATTGAACATGCCATTTCTATAAGAAAAGAATGGCATTCGAAATTATCCTTTATTATTAATTAATTGACTAACTTGTGTTTATCTGCCAATCACCTTCATGATTATGTCATTGCAAGACTCGACCTCCTCAGCTGTACAATGCACTATCGATATCTATGGCAAGGCCAGTTTGAACACTTCGAAACTTATAAAATCCATCATATTTTGGTTGTCATATTTCGACTAAATCAATACTTCCCATGTCACCTTTTTTGTGAAAACCGATGGTAACCGGCAGTCAAAATCCAAGCCGACAGTCAACTGTGGTTAATCGATGGTTTTATTCAGTTATTTTTAGTAATGAAAATTTATAAAACAATTAATCGTGAACTTATTCGTAATACTAAAAGTTTATTAGTTACCATGGAAAAGATTTCTTAGACGTCTTCTTTCGATATACATATAGCTTTTGTAGTTAACATATATAAATATTCAGTAGGTAAAATAGAGATCCAAAATATATTTTCCTTGTTTGACTAGGTTGTTTTTATGCCTCTTCATTCTATATTCTCTTTTTCCTTCCAAATATATGTTACAAGCTGCACCATGCATATGGATTAGGTCATATAAAATTAATTCCATCTTTTCGATACATTCATATTCAAATCGGTAAAAGTTATAGAAGTATTCTCTGAGTTTATAAGAAAGTTACCTATTGACTCAGCTATTTTTGCTTTGGTATAAGACATTAATATAAAATTGTAGTTTGATTTTTAAATATGTTTTCTTGTGATATGCACCAGAGCCCGAATCAAACCAAGGTTCTTCGGTTCGTTTTCGGGCTCTGATAACCGTTAATTTTTTTCTATTATTCATTGATGTGATATCATAATAAGAATATATCAATTCAACTCAGCGTACAAACTGTAGTTGAATAAAGAAAAAGAGAGCAATAGGATAAACAACAGTTCATTATCAATTGAAAGATTGATGATTTTTTTCTCGAGAACATAATCTGATTGTAAATGAACGATTGTCTTTCACTGACTATTTATTGAAGAAATTATTCCAATAGTTTTTCTTCCAAAGTATCTATCCTTAATCTTCTATATTCTTCTACATTGAAAATATCTTTGCTTCGAAATTTTCAATTTCCTTTAAGTAAAAAAATGTTATTTTCATACTAGAATAAAAACGT